CCCTTGGCCAGAATTGAACCTGGGGCCCTTTTGTCCACAGGCCGACGCTCTATCTACTGAGCCAAACTGGCTAGGGCCAGGTAATTATTTCTTTACTTTCGCTTTTTGGTATGGCTTCGTTTTGAGACATTTTGTTGGTTTATTTATATCCCTTTTGAAATGCGTTAGCACACAAAACGTGTCTTTTGGAGGAGAGAGGGTTTGCTTTTAAAACCAGCCTTTAGTAAGATTTGTCACGTTGTTTGGACTATACCCTGTAAGTTAATTTATCTCAGCCATGCCACACTGTAACCCTTACTCTTGACAAGTAAGTTTTTTAATTTGTCTAATTTTCTGCTCATACCTAGTTATTTGTAAATTTGTCTTCTTAGATATAGCTATAGGACTTCATATTGTTTTTAAATTTTATCTGGTCTATCACTCTTTTTGAACATGACATAATACAGAAAATTGATTAGAAAATTGATATCCTTGTGTTATAAACATATCCATGTTGTTGCTAAAGCTTTCCCCCCCCCAGCTTTGTTTAGATTCAGACAGGCTTTTCCTTGTCAGTCTGTTCTTAAGTACAAAAGTGATCGCTGTTCTCACCTATTGGTAGATAGAATTGATGTCCTTTTTTTTCTTTTTTTGGCGCCAAGTTTAATACTTGTTTATGAAACTTTGTAATTTGAAAGTCCATAAACAAAGAAGCATTAGTATGACTTAACATTTATTCTATGGAGTACTGTGGTTATTAATGAATTGTTAAAAAATGTGTTTTCTGTTTGTGTCCCCCCCCCCTTTTTTTTTCTTAGAGAATGGATCTTGGAGAATGTCTGAAAGTCCATGACCTGGCTTTAAGAGCGGATTATGAAATTGCATCCAAAGAACAAGATTTTTTCTTTGAGCTTGATGTATGTGATTTTATTTTAATGAGTTACATTATCTGTCACAATACAACATCTTGAATATGGATTTTTCTCTTAATAGGGAAAGGCTCTTAGCAAATTATGTTCTTTGTGGTTATATGAAGGGTAGTACTAAAATGAAGTGAGATCATGTACTTCCTGACTAACAGTTTTAGAAAATATAAGATGAAACTGTATATTTTAAGGAAATATGTAAAGTCATATAATTTATATACAGGATGTCTCAAAAAATGTGTATGCACACAGCTGATAGCTCAGTTTTGAAAATGAAACGTTTTTTTTTGTTGTTAATATATTTTTATTGATTTCAGAGAGAAAGGGAGAGGGAGAGAGAGAGACAGAAACATCATGATGAGAGAGAATCACTGATTGGCTGCCTCCCCACACGCCCCACTTTGGGGATCAAGCCTGTAACCCAGGCATGCACCCCGAATGGGACTCTAACCGTGACCTCCTGTATAAATATTTCTCTTTTTTCCCCATCCAGAGCGGTATGGTTCCTGAGTAGATGCGGCTGGGGATTGAGAAATAGACAGAGACAAAGACAGAAGGAAAAAGCTGGGGCTGGGTGGGACAGCTGTTCTGTGATAGAGAGACAGTGACCCATACCAGGAAGTTTTACTAAAGCCCAAGACAAAGGAGATTATGTGCATTCTTGTGGCTTCTTTGTAATCATCACTTCTGGGTGGGCCCGGATAATCCTGTTTATTCCTGGTGCTTGTCTGGATTTAGATAATGAAACCCACCTGTTGGTGCCTGAGCTGAAGGTCAGGCTGACAACACACCTGCCTCTGGCAAGGTATGTTTCCAGGGCATGGCTCTGCTGGGCACCGCTGGCTGGATTCAGATGACAGTCAACTCAGGGGCCTTTCCCAGGTGCTCTCTACACGCCTGGTTCATAGGTTGACTCTCAACTACTGAGCGACACCGGGGGTTGAGCCTTGACCAGAATCAAACCTGGGACCCTTTAGTCTGTGGGTTGATGCTCCAACCACTGAGCCAAACCAGCTAGGGCAAAAATGAAATGTATTTTAATAAATCCTGCCTTTATTATTATTATTCAAAGTGTGTATATACATTTTTTTAGTACACCCTATATTCTTCTGAAAATTAAGCATATTTTTCTCAAAGTAGTAATGATTAAGGAAGGTATCAATTTAAACAAATATAGACCAATTTCTAGTGCATATAAGGCTTTTTATATTCATATTGTTATTATTTTTTAAAATTGTTATTTATTTCAGAGAGGAAAAGAGAGGGAGACAGATACATCAATGGTGAGAGAGAATCATTGATTGGCTGCCTCCTGCACTCCCCACACTGGGGATTGAGCCTGCAACCCAGGCATGTTCCCTGACCAAAATCAAACCAGGACCTCCTGGTTCATAGGTCAATGCTCAACCACTGAGCCATGCTGGCTGAGCAATATTCATATTTTTGTACCTGTAAATATATACATAGAGAGGGAGAGTATTAAGGACAATGTTGTTTTTTAATGTAAAACAGAAGAATTATTAGAGGAGATACCATTTAGATATCTGAATGGCTCAAAATCTGACTATTGTGTGTGTGTATTTTTAATATTTTTTCTTTTTTAAAAATTTGGAACACTTCATGAATTTGCTTGTCATCCTTGCACAGGAGTCATGCTAATCTCTGTATGGTTCTAGTTTTAATATATGTGAGCACTGTTTTTTTAAACAAACATGAGAATTGTATAAAAATAGGGAAACTTTTTTTATACTTAAATAAAATATACCAGTCAGCATTACATAAAACATACTGATAAGCATAAATCTTATGCTACCTTTTGTAAGTGAGGAGATAGGCATTTTATTTGGTTTGGGAGATAAAGCAATACAGTAGACCCCCCCCCCCCCCCATTTACTTCTGAATTTCCAAGAATTTCTGTAAATGGAAATAAAAACCATCTATGTAAATGCAATTTAATACATGGCTAGAACATTTGGGGGAATCACCGTATTCTGACTTAAAAGTGTAATTGGGTTATGATTTATACACATTGGGCATAAAATACAGCAGAAATTTTCTATCATCTAGATGTAAGGGTGTGAAAATTTAGGTTATTTTCAGTCTTTTTCTATTACAGTATGATAATGTATTTTTTCTTTTTTTTTTTAATATATTTTATTGATTTTTTTACAGAGAGGAAGGGAGAGGGATAGACAGTTAGAAACATCGATGAGAGAGAAGCATCGATCAGCTGCCTCCTGCACACCCCCTACTGGGGATGTGCCTGCAACCAAGATACATGCCCTTGACCGGAATCGAACCCGGGACTCTTCAGTCCCCAGGCCGACGCTCTATCCAGTGAGCCAAACCGGCTAGGGCAATAATGTATTTTTTCTTATCAAGTGTATAGAGTAAGTTCCTAGAAATACAATAACTGAGTCAGTAATTTTGCCAAGTTGCTCTTCATTAGAATTATCAATTTATACTCCCACCAATAATATATGAGATTATCTATTTCCCATCTGACCACATAGTGTGTTTTCAAGATTTGTTTGCAACTTAGATGAAATGTGTAATGTAAGTGTAGTTTTAACCCTCATTGCTCTTATGAGTGAGTTTGAACATATTTCATATATTTAAGATGTTTATATTTCCTTTTTAGTGAACTGTCAGTTTACAATTTTTTTTTTGGCTATTGGCTAATATTTGATGTCAACATTTATTTTTAGTTGATTTGTACTAACTTGACATGAAAATTAGTCCTTCCCTCAGATAATACTTTGCATTTTTCCCCCCTGTTTTTCTTTTGGTAGTTATGGGCCTTGCAGAATATTTTTATTGTTATCTAATTAATCTTTTCAAAATCTCTATTGGATTAATTAGAAAGGCCTTCCCTATTCTGAGGTGATGAGTTCTCTATCATTTTCTTCTAGTTTCTTTTCTGCTTTTCACTTTCAAGAAATTTTTGGATTAACCAACCATTTTTAGAATTTGATATGTGCCAAGTAAATTTATATTTTTAAATAAAACCCTTATAATTTAAATTATACATACATACATATATATCCTATATAATAAAAAGCTAATATGCAAATTGACCGAATGACGGAATGACTGGTTGCTATGATGCACACTGACCACCAGGCGGCAGATGCTCAATGGAGGAGCTGCCCCCTGGTGGTCAGTGTGTTCCCACAGGAGGAGTGCTGCTCAGCCAAAAGCCGGGCTCACGGCTGGCAAGTACAGTGGTGATGGCAGCAGCCTCTCCTGCCTCCGAGGCAGCACTAAGGATGTCTGACTGACGTGCCTAAGCCATCAGTCGGACATTCCCCGAGGGCTCCCGGACTGTGAAAGGGTGCAGGCTGGGCTGAGGGACCCCACCCGCCCCTGAGTGCACAAATTTCGTGCACTGGGCCTCTTCATACATACATACATGCATATATATATATATATAATGGAAATATTAGCCACAGCTGTCAGCTGGAAAGGAAGTGAGATTCTTGATCACTTTCTTTAAAATTGCTCACCCACGGATATGTCTTATTGACTTAAAAGTGTAAGTTTTGAGTAAAGATATTTCTGAAGAAAGTTGATTTTTCTGGAAATAATTGTCTTTTAATTGAACTTTGTAGGCTATGGATCATCTGCAGTCATTTATTGCCGATTGTGATCGAAGAACAGAAGTGGCCAAGAAAAGATTAGCAGAAACCCAAGAAGAGATTAGTGCTGAAGTGGCAGCAAAGGTAACAATTTCAATCTTTTTTTAAAAAATATAATTCTTTCTTGATTTCAGAAAGGAAGGGAGAGGGAGAGATAGAAACGTCAGTGATAAGAGAGAATCATCGATCAGCTGCCTCCCGCATGCCCCCCCACTGGGGATCGAGCCCGCAATCCAGGCATGTGCCCTTGGCCAGAATCGAACCTGTAACACTTCAGTCCACAGGCTGACGCTCTATCCACTGAGTCAAACTGGCTAGGGCGTCAATCTTTTTAATAGTACAGAATATAATTTCACTTTTTAATTTGAAAAATTACATTCACAGAAGCTTACAAAGACAAACAGGAAATTCTATGTACTCTTCCTCTCGCTTCCCCTTATGTTAAGATATCTTACACAACCAGTACAATGTCAAAGGCAATAAATTAATTTTGGTCCAGTCTTTGTATTTTATTCAGATTTCACCAGTTAATGCATGCATTTACTTGTTTTGTGTGTGTGTAGCTCTCTGCAGTTTTATCACATGTGCAAATTGGATAAATATTATAATAATTACATTAATTGTAGCATTATCATCACAAGGCTCCCTCATGTTACCCCTTTATAGCCACACCACCCTTTCCCCTAGCCCCTGGCAGCCACTAGCTTATTTTCTGTCTTGATAATTATACTAGGGGCCCTGTGCACGAATTCGTGCACCTTAAAAGGAACTGTAGGCTGAGAGGTTACGGGGGGCAGGTCTCGGCCCATCCTCCATGCGCTCTACCCCCCCTCCCTCCCCCGCCCCTTCCACTGCAGCCCCTGGTCCCCTGTCTGCTGGCAGTCCTGCTCCCGCCACTCCCGCTGCTGACAGCACCGGCCCACACGCACCCGCTGAAGGTGCGGAGCCACAGCAGTGGGTGTGAGCAGGGTTGGCACTGTCAGTGGGTTCGAGCGGCGGCTGCTGCCCCGATCGCCCCTCAGGATCGGGGAGGTGGAGAAGCCCTGAGGGGCGATCGGGGTCAGCAACCGCCACTCACACCCGCTGCCAGCTTCCAGCAATCGGCACTGGCAGTGGGTGCAAGTTGTGGCTGTGGCCAGCAGCAGGTGTGAGCACTGGGCGGGACCACGGTGTGCAGGAGCAAAGAATTTTCAGTGACCACCAGAGGCTCACCCTGACAGCGACTGCGCCTTGGTCTGGCGCCCTGCCTTGGTCTGGTGCCCCTGCTCACCTGCTCACCTGCTTGACCATCCTGCTGCGGGCAACGCCCACCATGTTTCTCGCTCTGACGCCTGCTGCCGACACCCACATGTTCCGTGCCCCCCCCCCCCCCCCCCCCCCCCATCGGCACATGTCATAGCAACCGGTTGTTTGGTTCCATTGTTTGGTCTATTTGCATATTAGCCTTTTATTATATAGGATTATTTCACCTAATATCACATAAATGGAATCATGCAGTATGTATCCTCTTAAGATTGGCTTTTTATACTCAACACAACTTGAGATTCATACAAGTTATTGTATCAGTAGTTCATTCCTTTTTATTTTTGAGTAGTATTCCATGGTATGTATTAGGATTAGGGTTAGGGTTAGGGATATATTGCAGTTTAACCCCTCATATTGAAGGGGACATTTGGGTTGTTTCTAGTTATTGGCTAATACCAATAAAGCTGCAATAAACATTCATGTACAGATTTTTGTGTGGACATAAGTTTTTATTTCTCTGGGATAAATAACCAAGACTGCAATTGCTAGGTCATATGGTAAGGACATTTTTAGTTTTGGAAGCAAATACCAAACTTTTTTTCTAGAGTGGCTGTACCATTTTACATTCCTACCAGCAGTGTGTTAGTGATCCACTTTCTTCACATTTGTGCCAGCATTTTGATGATGTCACTGTTTTATCCATTCTGAAAGGTGTGTTACTACATCTCATTGTGGTTTCAATTTCCCTAATGAGTAATGACTTTGTACATTATTTTCATGTGCTTATTTGCCATATGTATATTCTCTTCGGTGAAATATCTGTGTATGTTGTATGCCCATTTTCCAAATGGAATGTTCATTCTTTTTTATAAATATGTTTTTATTGATTTTAAAGAGGGGAAAGGAGAAGGAGAGAAATATCAATGTAAGAGAGATAGATCAATCTGTTGCCTCCCGTTGAACCTGCAACCTGGGCATGTGCCCTAACCGGGAATCAAAACGGTCTCCTTTTGGTGCATAGGACAACACTCAACCAACTGAGCCACACAGGCTAGGGCAAGAATGTTCATTTTTTAAATGTTGAGTTTTGTCTACTCACTACTTTTTTCTTTCTTTTTTTAATACATTTTTATTGGTTTTTGAGAGAGAGGAAGGTGGGGGGAGAGAAAAACATTGATGTGAGAAACATCGATCGGCTGCCTTCAGCATGCACTCCAACTGGGGATCAAACCAGAAACCTGGGTATGTGCCTTGACCTGGAATCGAACCGGTAACCTTTTGTGCACAGTACAAGCCTCAACCAACTGAGCTACATCTACCAGGGCAACTCACTATTTTTAAAAAATATTTTGTTGTGAACTTATACACAAAAATAGAGAAAAATACAACAAATCCTAATGGATTCAAAGCTGTCAGCTTTCTGTTGTTTCATTATTTTACTAGAGGCCCAGTGCACAAAATTTATGCACTAGGGACTCCCTCAGCCAGGCCTGTGCTCTCTCGCAGTCCAGGACCCCTCAGGGGATGTCCGCCTGCCAGATTAGGCCTGCTCCCCACTAAGCCGGCAGTCGGACATCCCTCTCGCAGTCCGGGACCCCTTGCTCCTTACTGCCTGCCTTCTCGCTGCTCCTTAGCACTGCTGCCGCTGCGCTCGCCAGCCATGAGCCTGGTTTCTGGCTGAGCAGCACTCCCCCTGTGGGGGCTCACTGACCACCAGGGGGCAGCTCCTGGTCGTTTAGGCTTTTATTATATAGATAAGCAACTTCTAGGTGTCATATCATTTCACCTCTAAAATATAACCACAGAGTTATATCCATGAAGTTAACAAGATTTAAAATTACTTAATAAACAGTGTTTACTTTTCCTATATAATCAGAATTCAGAAAAGGTCCATGTATTTCATTTTGTTGGTTTGATGACTTACTACTTTATAACGTTATGTACCATTCCATGTAGTGTGGTACATTTTATGAAAATGCAGAATGTGATAGTTATCCAGGTAGGATTTACATGACAGCATTAAATACTATTATAGTGCTTAGATATGTATGTACAAAGGGAAGTGGATTCCCTTATTTGTGAAAAGGTTACTTTCAACCAACTTTTTCTGAAAAGTTCTCTGAAGATCAGGATTATAAAGATGGACATACTAAAGTACAAGGGATCATGGTTGAAAGGGATCCACAATTGCTGGCTAGACCCCAAGTTGTATTGGTTATTCATCACTACCAAAATGCAGTTTAACAAACTACCTCAAAATTCAGGGACTGGAAACAGTAAATATTTATTTAGTTCATTGACTACTGATTTAGGCTGAACTTGACTGGGTATTTATTCCTGTCTTAGCGGGGCCCTCTTCCTTGTCTTCCAGTCAGCTGGGGGTTACTGAACTAATTTCTCACGGTGAGAGTTGAGGTACAAAAGCTCATTCATATAAGCACTTTTCAAGTCATTGCTTGTGTCATGTTTGCTACCGTCCTGTTAACCAAAGCCAGTTAACTGTGTGGCCAAGTTCAGATTCAGAATATGATGATACTTGATAAAATAGTAAAGGGCATGGGTACAGGGAAGGATGAAGAGTTTGGGGCATTAATGCAATCATTCAAAGAAAAATACCACTTTGTTAAAGAGGTAATGATAATAGAGTTGGGAATTTCTTTGAGGGGTGAATATCTTGGATTGAAGGAAATTTGAGAAGTAAAGATTATTTGAGAAGTCTTATTTTATTGAGATCAGATGTCCATATCAAATTAGAACCTTCTTTGCTAATATAATTGATTACATAGGATAAATACTTACTTATGGCCAAAAAAATAGTCTGTGTGTATCTATCAAGTGCCATTAAAAGTCAAGGAATGAACTAAGGATGATGGTGGTGCTGAAGATGAAGAGGAGGAGGAGGAGACATATCAAATCCCAAGGAAATAATTAATCCCAGTGAAAAGACATGGACTAAGGGAGAAGGGTTGTCATGCTATTATACTAAAAATCAGTAATGTACTGTGCAATGTATGTGCAAGGCACATTTTCCTGTTTCTCATAGCTATGTGAGATATTAATCCCTACTAGTCAGATGAGGAAATAGATTCACGTGAAATAATATGACCAAAATTGTACACCTAGTAACTGACTTGCCCATAAGCCAGATATCTAGTCACATCTTTGATTCAAAGAGAATTCACCAGCCCCAGTTTATATCTTTAACTCATATTTGAGCTAATGCTATTTGTTGGACATTGGAAATACAAAGATGGGAAATATATATAGCTATCTTTAATGTGGTATGATATACACTGAGTGGCCAGATTATTATGACCGGCCAGATTATTATGACCACCCCATCAGTGCAGTGAAGTGAATTAGTTATGCAAATAATAGTAATAATAAAATCTTGAGAGTATTTGCTTAGGAAGTTTTCAATATTCAGTATTTTTGGAAGTATCAATGAAGTACTGATGGGGTGGTCATAATAATCTGGCCGGTCATAATAATCTGGCCACTCAGTGTATATAAAAGTAATTGTTGTAAAAGATACAAAAGTAACACAAAAGAGGATTTGGCTCTCTGCTTTTGTGTGTAAGTGGAGGTGAAATATAATGATTGATCAAGAACGTTTCACAGAATAGACTCCAGTTGGATCTTGTTCAGTGAATAGACATTCACTAGGCCAGCAAGTGAGGTAAAGGGGTGACATCCCAAGAAGAAAAGGTATTTTATACTTGGAATACACTGCCAAAGCCGAGGTTGCAAAGTGCTAGTTTATATAGAGATCGGATGTATCCAGTGAAGGCAGGCAAGCTCAAAACATCCTAATGTCTCACGAATTTATGATGTGCTCAGAAAGCATTGTTTATAATTATATTGCCTCATATAATAACTCTTCTGAGCATTTTTGAAATACTTTGAACTTTGATACTTTGTCAGCTTTTTATTCATGATCTTTTTTTCTGTTACTTTCTAGGCAGAACGTGTTCATGAGTTAAATGAAGAAATTGGTAAATTGTTGGCTAAGGTGGAACAACTAGGAGCTGAAGGAAATGTGGAAGAATCTCAAAAAGTAATGGATGAAGTAGAGAAAGCACGGGCAAAGAAAAGAGAAGCAGAGGTAACTAAATTCTTAATGTTGGTCTGTAAAGCCTTATTATCTATACTTTATTTATTCTTTAATCCTCACTGGAGGAGTGAGGATATTTTTTCCATTTTTTCTTTTTTTTTAGAGAGCGTGGAAGGGAGGGGGAGGGGGGGAGAGAGAGAGAGAGGGGAGGGGAGGGAAGAGGAGAGGAGAAACATTGATGTGAGAGGGACATATTGATTGTTTGCCTCCCGCTTGAGCCCTGACCAGGGCCAGGGATTGAACCTGCAACCAAGGTAACATGCCCTTGACCTGGAATTGAACCTAAGAACTTTTGGCCCCCAGACTGGCAATCTAACCACTGAACAAAACTGGCCAGGGCAGTATGTACTTCTCAGAACATATGTAATTAGTCCATGTCATACTGATGGGTTATATACCAAAATTAGTGGTTTTTGGAATTTGGAGCCACTGATATGAAATTTATAACTGGTAAATAAAATTAACTGAACTAACTAGTCATATACAGCAGTCATTTGTGTCTGTGTGCGCGTGCACACACACTGCATATATCTGGTTACTATGATACCCTATTCTCCATTTTACATCCATGCAACTGTAGCATTCTCCCTTCTCTTCCCACCTCAGTACAGTCCGCTAGCACCTTGGGAGCCTCAGCTCTTCCTCCACAGCACAGTTAAAATCTGATATCCTGCACACAAAGTTCTGTTATGTTTGGCCCAAAATTCTATTTTGTTTTTTAAGAAATTGAATGCCTTCATATGAGATTATATTTTCCACTTTTGCAGTAGTCTCCATTACTTATAACTGCATCACACCTGGGTTTAATTTGTTATAGCCTTAAGGCAGAAGCTTAGGTCATTGATTTTAGATCATTTAATGTTACATGTTTTCTTTTAAGCACAACTATAGCTGCATCCCACAGATTTTCATTGTAATTCAGTTAAAAATATTTACCTATTATTGCTTGTGATTTCTTCTACCCCTCCCCTCCCGTCCTCCTCTCCTCTCCTTCCTCTTCCTCCTCCTCCAACTGTTTATGATAGCAAAAACAGTTGATTAACACAGATTTTGTATGTTATATGTATTATATACAATATTCTTACAATAAAGTAAGGTAGTGAAATGAAAATATACTACTGCACTGTATTTATTGATATCGTAAGTTTGTCATCTGCTTCATCTTCAGTATCAACATCAATACTGTCTTACATGATATAAAATACTATAGCTGTTTAACATATAACTAACACTAGACATCAGAAATGAAAAAGATAATGTGAAGAAGAAATTTATGTTTATTTACAGATATAACAATAATTCATGCTAAAATAATGGAGAAGCAGTAATAGTCATCTGATGGCACACATAAACTAATTACTAAAATTCCATGGCACACCAAAAATATATTTTTTTGCCAATCTGTATAATTTTAATTCATTTACACCGGATGGCTATTGTGTTGGCTGGTTTTTTGTGTGTTTTTTTTGAAGTCTTTTTTTTTTTCCTTGAGTTTTTTTTTTTATTATTAAATCTTTATTGTTCAGATTGTGCAAAGTTAAATTTAGAAGAATGATAAATGCACTCCCCTCCTCCCAGTTCCCGCCCCACCCTCCGCCCTCACTCCCCACCCACTGTCCTCATCCATAGGTGCACGATTTTTGTCCAGTTTCTTCCCGCATCTCCCATTCCCCTTTCCCCCCCAAGAATAGTCAGTCCATTCCCTTTCTATGTCCCTGATTCATTATAATCACCAGTTCATTCTGTACATCAGATTATTTATTCACTTGATTCTTAGATTCACTTGTTGATAGATGCATGTTTGTTGTTCACAATTTGTATCTTTACCTTTTTCTTCTTCCTCTTCTTAAAGGATACCTTTCAGCATTTCGTATAATACTGGTTTAGTGGTGATGAACTCCTTTAGCTTTTCCTTATCTGTGAAGCTCTTTATCTGACCTTCAATTCTGAATGATAGCTTTGCTGGATAAAGTATTCTTGGTTGTAGGTTCTTGGTATTCAGCACTTTGAATATTTCTTGCCATTCCCTTCTGGCCTGCAAAGTTTCTGTTGAGAAATCAGCTGACAGTCGTATGGGTATTCCCTTGTAGGTAATTGAGTCTCTTTCTCTTGCTGCTTTTAAGATTCTCTCTTTGTCTTTTGCTCTTGGCATTTTAATTATGATGTGTCTTGGTGTGGTCCTCTTTGGATTCCTTTTGTTTGGGGTTCTCTGCGCTTCTTGGACCTGTAAGTCCATTTCTTTCACCAGGTGGGGGAAGTTTTCTGCCATTATTTCTTCAAATAGGTTTTCAATATCTTGCTGTCTCTCATCTTCTGGCACCCCTATTATTCTGATGTTGGTACGCTTGAAGCTGTCCCAGAGGCTCCTTACACTATCTTCGTATTTTCGGATTCTTTTTTCATTTTGCTTTTCCGGTTGGGTGTTTTTTGCTTCTTCGCATTTCAAATCTTTGGCTTGATTCTTGCGCTCCTCTGGTCTGCTATTGGGTGTAATATTCTTTATTTCCGACCGTGTATGCTTAATTTCTAGTTGTTTCTTTATCATAGCATCGAGGGTCTCATTAGTTTTCGTGAGGCTCTCCAGAAGTTTATTGCAAGCCCTCAAAATTGCGTTTTTTAGCTCTATATCCTCCATTTCTGTCATGTTTTTTTGTCTCCGCATTTTTTATGCTTTCTTGGTGCACCCCCTAGTGGTCTTTGTGCGCAGTCTTGTTCTAGTTGAGCCTTGATTGTTGTAGTTAATACTAGAGGGATTTGACCACCAGGCCGACTGGCTGTGAGAATCAGCTGTGTCTGCTGCAGTGGGAAAACTTCTGTCCTCTGGGGGGGCGCTAATCTAGCCTTTGCCTGCGGCGATCCGGCAAATGGCTCTGCGCAGGGCTTGGGCGGGGCGGGCTCAACAGGGCGGGCGGAGGGAGCCGTTATGGTGCCCTCAGTCCTGTTCCCAGAGGCTCTGCTTCTCAGAACCCCCGGAACCGCTGCAAACCTCGGAGGGAAAGCTGCCTTCCAACTGATGCCAGACACTCCCGCTTCTCCCGTTTGGGTCCGAGTCCCCAGCGATTCGCCCGTATCTGGAGCTCAGAGTCTGAGACTCCCCCCTGACCGAAAACGACAACCGCGCTCTCAGCCACCAGCCCGCTTTGCGCGCGCACCTCCGCACCTGAGTTTTTTCCACACTGCGCCTCCTCTGAGCCTCGGTGTGCTGTTATTTTTCCTTCTAGTTGAAGAGTCTCTCCTCAGCCAGCCTTCCTGTGGTTCTGGGTGATGTCCGTTCCGTCTTTTAGTTGTATTTTTGAAGTGGTTGTTTGCGGCAGCAGTCTCCGGTGTTTACCTATACCGCCATCTTCGGGAATGTCTGAAGTCTTTTATTAAAGCCTTTTTTTTTAGAGAGAGGAAGGGAGAGGGGAGAGACAGACAGACATCGATATAAGAGAAACATCAATTGATTGCCCCCCTTACAAGCCCCAACTGTGGGGTCGAACCGCAACCTGGGTATGTACCGAGATCAGGAATCAAACCTGTCACCCTTTGGTATATGGAACCACAGTTCAACCAACCCAGTCACACTGGCTAGGGCTGTTGTCATTTTTTTATTTGGCAATCTAAGGGAAAAGAGGTCAGTGCCCCTGACTAAATAGTCAGGTATTGCATGTTTTAAAATTTTTTGCGGCATACTGGTTGGAAATCTCTGGCCTAGTATAATCAATAAGGTTGGGTCACAGTAGCCTAGCCTATACACTAATGAATCATTATAAAATTTTAATGGCATACTGCCCTGACTGGTTTGGCTCAGTGGATAGAGTGTCGGCCTGTGGACTGAATGGTCCCAGGTTCGATTCCAGTCAGGGGCACATGTCCGGGTTGTAGGCTCGGTCCCCAGTAGGGGGCTTTCAGGAGGCAGCTGATCAGTGATTCTCATCATTGATATTTCTCTCTCTCTCCCTCTCCTTTCCTCTCTGAAATCAATAAAAATATTTAAAAAAAATTTTAATGGCATACAGTATTCTAAGTCATATTCATAATACAGTATTGGAGACATCATCATATATATATATATATTTTTTTTTTTAATTGATTTCCGAGAGGAAGGGAGAGGGAGAAAGAGAAACATTAATGATGAGAGAGAATCATTTGGGTGCCATGTTATTAATGTTTATGGTATTGCACTAAACGCAATGGAAAATATGCAAGAAGCTCAAGAGATCACTTTTTACTGTGTACTCTAGAGACGAGCTGATCACATATTTGTTTTGTGAAATGTCCTTCAGTTTGGGTTTGTCTGATTTTTGTTAGATTTTGTCAGGAATACCACTAAAGTAATGTTACATCCTGTCAGAAGGCACATGTTAGTGGTTTGTCCCATAACTATGATGTTACTATGTTAGTGTTTGGTATTGACATTTTGAAACGGCAAGTATTCTGTTTTCCATCACTTTTTGATTCACAGGTTATTGGTTACTTTTGTCTGAATGTATTGACTCCCTTTTAAAGAACTTTCCTATAGATTATATCCAGCAATGTCCACTTATATCTATATTTTCTTAGAGCTACACAGAAGCTTGGAAATGTTTTTAACTGTGTATGCTCAAAACAAAAATCAGAATTCTGTCAATAAGGAAAAAAGGATACAGTGGTTATACCAACCCACTAGTATTAATTACTTCATTGATGAACTTAATATAAATAAAATGGTTGGGTATAAGATATTTAAATCTCAGTAAGGCATTTTTCATTGCTTGTCTTATAAACTGTTACTTTTAGTAGGAGGTTTATTATTTGTATGTCCCATCCACATTTCCAAAGGGATGCGTAAGAAAGAAGGCAATGGAAGGAAGCTGTAATTATATAGAAAACGTGCATGCCTTCTCTGCAAGCATGGGCGACTTCTACTTCCTTGATCCTTCACTGATAAAGTTTTGGGGTTGCTACATCTCATTTTTAACAAAAATTATAGAAAACAGAACATTGAGAAAAACTTTCAGAAAGTTGTGTTCTGTATCATGGTAGATACAGTAGTTCTTGGTAAAAAGTATTTGGGGCTCCAATTTTTTTTTTTTTTTATCCCCAGTGAAGAGGTCCTGAGACAGAGGATGGGGGGTTATGGGGAATCTAGAATTTTCATGACAAAATGCCATGCTTTTGTGTATTCATTGGAAAACATTTTGTTCTTTAGAAAAGTGTATTTTGTTTAATTGTATGATGTTCCATGAAGTTTATATGAACATTGTTTTTCACTTTTGTCTAGGAAGTGTATCGGAATTCTATGCCAGCTTCCAGTTTCCAACAGCAGAAACTTCGAGTCTGTGAAGTCTGCTCTGCTTATTTAGGTCTTCATGATAATGACAGACGACTGGCTGATCATTTTGGGGGTAAACTGCACCTGGGATTTATTGAAATAAGAGAGAAGCTTGAAGAATTAAAGGTATATTGTTAAATTAATATCACTTTATCTAATTTAACCACTCATTCTTTTGATCTGTATTAGTTGTCTTTTCGTATAGTAATCTTGACTGTGAGTCCCTTTCACAATTCATACTGAATAGTGTAGGATTTCAAATGGAGATACCATTGGTTTAATGGATAATGTTTGATAGACAGACCTTTAATTACTATTCCCCTATTCTTGGAGCTAGTAGTTGAATATGATGGAGTAGGAATCTTGCAAACTGGTTTTAAACTAATTATTTTATACAAAGTCCCCTAAGTTTTTCTCTTTTTCCTATAAAATAAATAATATAATATTTACTCTAAAGGAAGTTTGAGAAAATGAACCAAATATTTAGTTGAAATATTTTGCAGTTCTTCACTACATAGCAATCTGGTAGGACCTCTGGTTTTATTTTACACTCCTGCCTCCATTTCAGAAAGGAGTTAGAATGAAACCCATTTTTTAAAAAAGGACAATCACTGTCAAATATGTAAGCCATTCTGAGAAAGGCAACAAGTTCTTACTCATCTGCTGAGTTCTTTTGAGAGGATAAGCAAACAGAAAAGGTATATCTGAGGAGGTAAATATAAACAGAGTGGATGAATATTGTAGTTAATAGTGGCTCTCTGTATTCTGAGTAGCTAAGATGATCTCACTCAGGTAAGTTTTAAAAAAATGACAAAATGAGTTTCAGTATAGCAAATGATACCTACTTGGGAGTCTTTGCAGATAGACCTAGCAACAGAACAGTTCAGCATTTTGCTGTTTTTAAAATAGCAGCATCAGGATGGTAATTGGAAGTGACAGAAAACATTTCTATATTGGAAATCATAGAGCATGGGAACTTGTGATTTATAATGGTTGGTTGATTTTAAAAAATACAAAATAATACCAGAAAGTATTCAGAGGAGAAAAAATTTATAGAACTATTTTTCAAATATTAAGAAGTCATGAAGGCCCTAGCTGGTAGTTCTGTTAGAGTGTCATCCTGATACGCCAAGGTGAGAGTTCGATCCCTGGTCAGGGTATATACAATAAGCAACCAGAATGCACAAATAGTGGAACAACAAATCAGTGTTTCTCTCTCCCTCTCCCTCCCTTGCTCCTACCCCCTCCCCCTTCCTCTCTCCCTCCCCCTCTCCTCACCCTCTCTCCTGCCTCTGTCTTTCTAAAAATCAATAAGTAAATTTAAAAAAAAATAGAAGAAGTCATGGAGGACCATGAAATTTTATAAATTTTACAAAAAGATAAAAGATTTTAGAAACCAGACTTGTAAGTCCAATGATTTTCCTTATCAAAATTGAATTGTTATTAGCAGATTTTGATGTTACTTGTACAATATTGGAAACCAGATCTGGCTAAAGTTTAGGATAATGCTCATTAAGAATGGACCCAGTAAATAATGCTTCTCATTTATTATTATTTAACTTAGTTTTTTTTTGTTGTTGTTTTTTTTTGTCTTTTAAGAGAGTGGTAGCTGAGAAGCAGGAGAAAAGAAACCAGGAACGCCTGAAGCGAAGAGAAGAAAGGGAAAGAGAAGAAAGGGAAAAGTTGAGGAGGTATGGAGTGATAAATTGAATAGTCTAAGTATTTGAAGTTGAAAATCCTGTTTCATCTTTGAGATGTGATTGGTATAAGATTTTAGATGTTAACAAATGTAGACATGGGAAATCTTGTTTACTCTTTAAAATGCTACCATGCAAAACAATGTTTGTGCAAGTATGTTAGCATAATGGCCATTAAAGTCAAGGTCCTTTTTTCCTTAAAAGTGTATTAAAGAGGTAATAAAGAGAGAGTCACATCTTTGTTTTGTAAGCTATGTAAAACTCTTTTCTAGCCCCCTGATTTTCATGATGGGATAATTTGTACCAGGTTGGCACGGAACTATTTTTATGATATATTTTATGCTTGATAAAAGGTTTGGGTTTTTTGTTTTATTGATTAAATTTACTTTCATTCTACACTCAATTCTAGGAGCTATAAACTTTTAAAATGTTTACTCAATAATAAATTCTTTTTAATTGGTATTAATAGTTATTTTTATATTGGTATTGGTTGATAGAATCATATAAATCTTCATATTTACAATATTTAAATGTTCTGGGTTACTTTTATTCATTATCAACAAACTGCTTGGCACTCTGGTGGCAACATTCTTTGTATGTGTTATTCATAACTTCAACAATTTTAGGATGGGCAGGTATGCCACAAAAGATTCACCTGTAGTTCTAATTTATAGTGTTCTCTTAATTGTATTACACATCTCTGAAATTTAAATGCCTTACCCTTGATAATATGTATAGGTCATGCCAACTTCCTCCAAGCTTTTTTTTAAAAAATATTTTTATTGATTTTAGAGAGGGAGAGAGATAGGAAATATCAGTGATGAGAGAGTATCATTGATTGGCTGTCTCCTGAACCTCCTACTGGTGATAGAGTCTGCAGCCCTGGGCATGTGCTATGACTGAGAATCAAACCGTGACCTCCTGGTTCATAGGTTGACACTAAGCCACTGAGCCATGATGGCCGGGCCATCTTCCTCTTTGGGGAAGTGCTGTCATTCCTCCATTGATGTATATGTTCTTCATTTACCATAAAGTTCACCTCAGAGCTTTAGCTCTATTCTCGTTTGTGTACTCAGATGGTGATACTGCCCAATATTGTAATATTTAAAATAATATAAATGGCATTAGAAATCTCAGTTTAACTTAAAATTCAATTGAATGTAGTGCCACTAATATAAATGATTCAACGGAGGTAAATCAAATGAGAAAAAAAATATTCTTTGCTGAACTACATTTCTACATTTGTAGATGACAAGAAAATACATTGCATCTTCTCTGTTGCCACTTGACAAATTCTTTTAAACAATAATTATAAACGCAATGTATTTCAGTAATGCTTTTTTAAAAATTTTAATCTATATATGAACTTAAGTATTATAGCTAAGTATGGAAAATGAGGAAATTGCAAGTGAGTTCAAAATTATACCGCATAGGATTCCAGCTGTGGTACTGAAAAGGGTAATGATAAAAATTACTATTACTTACGAGCACTATTTTCCAGGCGCTGTGCTAAGAATTTATCTCTAGCAGTTCATCTAATTTTTACAACCCCCTGTGAAATTGATATCACTATCCCTCTTTTACAAATGACAAACTAAGCTGAGGGGAATATATATGTCTGCCAAGGTCACACAGATGGTGAGTGGTGGAACCAGAGTTGAAACATCAGGCTGATTCCAAAGCCATGCTTCAACCATTTGTATAGTCTCCACACAAAAAACTATAATATTGGCTATTACTATTTATTGAGTGCTAATTGTGTGCTAGGAATTGTAAGAGTGTTTTATGTAAGTGTCATGTGTCATGTTGTGCCCCCTGGCCTGGTGGCTTGGTTGGTGTGTCATCTTGTATACCAAAAGGTTTCCAGTTCAATCCCCAGTTGGGGCGCATGCAGGAGGCAGCTGATCAGTATTTCTTTCATATTGATGTTTCTTTCTCTACCCCTTCCTCTCTCTCTCAAAAAACAATAAAACATATCCTTGGGTGGGGAGAAAGGAAGGGGGAAGGGAGGGAAAACATGTTATAAGATTGATTTGGGTGTTCTAGGGATTATAGTATGAGTTTGCAGATCCAAAGTGTATACATCTCAGATCATAGAAATTTTATTCTGTTCCCAGAGGGCAGGAAGAAATGACAGTGAATTTTTCCAGGGTTGGAAAGTAAGTGGTTTCTGGAGAATTAGTGAGTTGTGATGTACTGTGTTAAGAACCAGGTTTCTTAGTTAAGAGAATTCATATGCCAAGGTGGGGAAGTCTGTAGAGTTTGTGGTGTATTTTGAAAAATTTTCTGTGCATACACATGCCTTATATTTATAAAATTAACATAAAAATTACACATCAGGAAGAATGTAATTTTTAACAGCCCAGCATACTTATTCCCATTTATAGTTACTTTTCTAAAAATAGATTTTTTTGTTTTGTTTTAGGTCTCGATCACATAGCAAGAATCCCAAAAGGTAGGTATAATACAAGTTAAGCAGTGAAGCGGTTTTTTTTTTCAAATAAGGGTGTTATAGATAAAATGCCTTTTAAAAATGAACAAGAATTAATAGATTAGTACACTTAATATTTTTGTAGTTCAAGTTCAAGCAATATCTTTTGCGAAGAAACTGTTCAGAAGATACGCATATACTATAGTTTAGTTTTATCAAAGTAAAATTATATAAACAGTGCCCTGGAGTTAGGGGGAAAACTTAAAACATTTCAGAATATTTCTTTATTTTTAAATTTTTTTTTTATTTTTATTGATTTCAGAGAGGAAGGGAGAGATAGAAACATCAATGATTGGCTGCCTCCTGCATGCCCACTACTGGGGATCAGCCCACCACCAGGGCATGTGACCTGACCTCCTGGTTCATAGGTCGACTTTCAACCATTGAACCACACCGGCTGGGCCAGAGTATTTCTTTCTTTTTTTAATTGGCATTTGTGTGCACTTTTTTTTTTTTTTAAGCAAAGTTAGCTTCTTAAAATTATTTTTAAATTTTTATTGATTTCAGAGAGGAAGGAAGAGAGAGATGAGACACCAATAATGAGAGAGAATCACTTATTGGCTGCCTCCTGCACGCTTCCTACTGGGGATTGAGCCTGCAACCTGGGCATGTGCCCTTGACCAGAATTGAAACCGGGACCCTTCAGTCTGCAGGCTAATGCTCTAAACACTGAGCTAAACCAGCTAGGGCCAGAGTATTTCTTTAAAATCTTTAGAAGCTCAGGGTAAATATGTGACAGGATATTTTTTTAAAAAATCATTTTGGGTGGTGCATCTAAGAAACATTCTAAGAGGTGTTGAAAATGTAAGTAGGTTAAATAATTGGATACATTTTTGAATGAGAGGTTCATGGTGGGTTAGTAAGGGAAACTAAAATGTTTAGTTTAGCCCTGGCCAGTGTGTACTGTGAACTGTGCACTGAAAGGTTACCATTTCGATTGCTGGTCAGGGCACATATGAAAATGCCCTGTCAGAGTGCAAACGGGAAGCAGCTGATCGCTGTTCCTCATATCAGTGTTTCTCTCTCTTTCCTCTTCTCCCTTTCTCTCTCTCTCTAAAAATATCAATAAAAACATATTAAAAATAAAATGTTTACTTTATGCCTCCATCTTGACTTTCTATGAGTTAGTACTTACTACCCTTGGTAACTGATCACAAAAAGCTTGAAAGGGGCACTCACAGCCTTCAAGAGGAAAAGGACATGGTAACACTTTTCTTTGACTTATGGATTTCATATTTGGGGGCTTTTTGAAGCCTTTCTTTACAATTTTTACTAGCTACTGATAACTGTTTTCTATCTGAGAAAGGTGGGAAAACATGGTGTACTTTATCTTTCTTAATTCTTCACTTGCCATTCTCATTCTTATTGACTCTTTCTCAATTTATTTCCACCTAGAATGCCCTTTCTCATTCTTTTTGAAATTCTAGTATTCCTCTTGTTTGGATGACATTTTTTTTGAAACATTCTAAGTACTCTTAATTCCAATGAGTAACTATTTCCCAAGAACTTTTTCCTCTAAACTGGAGCATTTGTCTTTATGAAAGAAAAACCTGCCTTATCTGATTTGGCTCAGTGGATAGAACATCGGCCTGCAGACTGAAGAGTCCCGGGTTTGATTCTGGTCAAGGGCATATGCCTGGGTTACGGGCTCAATCCCTAGTAGGGGGCTTCAGGAGGCAGCCAATCAATGATTCTGTCTCATCATTGGTGTTTCTATCTCTCGCTTTTTCTCTCTGAAATCAATACAAACATTTTTTTTAAAAAACAAAACCTTATATGTTTTAAATGCCCCTAAGTGCTTCTTAGCCTTTCAGTTATTGTTCTGCTTAAAGCACTAAAAAACTAAGGCATTAGTAAACAAAGAGGACAGGTGTGTTAGCTATTTACGATGTGAGTTTCTCACATCCAGAGTAGAAGGATAAGCATCAAGTGATGATACTGTTCTGTTCATTGGTTGGTTAATGCAAGCTGGTTACCTTTGCTGACAAAAGTATTTAAACGATTTGTAGCCCTGGCTGGTTTGGCTCAGTGCATGGAGCGTCGGCCTGCGGACTGAAGGGTCCCGGGTTCGATTCCGGTCAGGGGCATGTGCCTTGGTTGTTGGCACATCCCCGGTGGGGGGCGTGCAGGAGGCAGCTGATCGAGGTTTCTCTCTCATGGATGTTTCTGGCTCTCTGTCCCTCTTCCTTCCTCTCTGTAGAGGGTCAATAAAATATATTTAAAAAAAAAAAATTAAACGATTTGTATAAGTGAAATAAATCATGTCAGCTCTGTTTAAGTCCTCCAAAGACACACTATTTCTTTTTTTACTACCTCACCTATTTTTATTGCCCACATATCTGGAATATATAGGTTTACAATTGTTTGTGTGGAAAATACAGTAATTAATAAGTATTAATACAAGAATAAACTCTGTGTTTCCCTTACAACTATAAACATACTCTTGCCCACCGGTGTAATTGCAGCACAATCTTAGAACAATGCAGTAGGCATCCAGTAAATATTTTTTGAATGATGGATAACTTTAAAAAGATACATGAAGTAATACATTGAAAGAAATGGATTTATTATAATAGCTCAAAATGAGTGATTAACCAAAATATAATTTGGCAAAACTTGTATTGAATGAATTTTATGCTCTTTCCCCCTGCATAAAATTTTATCTTGTGAATTTTCATGTCAAGGAAGAAATCTAACTTCTTTAAGATTCTGAATCTTCCCTGTGAAGCTAACTGTATTTAACAGTGCATACCTATTATGCTGATTAAACAACAATATACTAGAATGTGTCTGCTCTGTGGAAGTGCACCAGCTCCAAGAAGTATGGAAAACAAAATAATTTTGTTTTGTTTTGTTAGACCTCACCTGAGGATATTTTCCCATTGATTTTTAGAGAGAGTAGGAGAGGGAGAGACAGGAAAACATCGATGAGAGAGACAGACAGACAGACAGACAGACATTAAATGGTTGCCTCTGAAAGGTTCCCCAACCAGAGTACATGCCCTTTACAAGAATTGAATCTATGACCCTTCAGTGTGCAGGCTGACTATCCACTGAGTCAAATCGCCTAGGGCTCCCCCTGCTTCTTATCAGAAATATTTTAAAAAATCTTTTTTTATTGCCTAGCTGGTGTTGCTCAGTGGTTGAGCCTTGGCCTACGAATCGGGAAGTCATGGTTTGATTCCTGGCCCAAGTTGTGAGCTCAACCCCCACTAGGGCGTGTAGCAGGCAGCCAGTCAATGCTTCTCATCATTAATTTTTCCATCTTTCGCTCCCTCTCCCTTCCTCTCTTTGATCAATAAAAATGTAATACAAATATTTTTACTGATTTTTAGGGAGAGAGGAAGGGAAGGGGGAAAGAGAAAGAAAAACAATGTAAAATCGGAACATCGATTGGCTGCCTCTACACGCCCCTTTGGGAATCGAGCCCAAAACCTGTGCCCTGACCAGGAATCAAACCAGCAACCTCTAGCTACTTGAGAGAATGCCCAACCAACTGGACAGGGCCAGAAATGTTTTTCTCAAGTGTGAAATACTCTATTCAGTTATGGTTGTTAATGTCCACAATATGTGCCTTTCTTTGACTATAATGTTGACATATACTAAATGCTTTTACAGTTCACTTAACAAAATAATCATTGGAAAATAAAATCAGTTTGCACATGTAACACCTGAATAATGTGCTTTTGTACTATTATATTAAGTGACTCTTATAACAAAGTTTCATACCTTTTTTCTCATTGTTTTCCCTCAGTTCTCTGTCATCCGTATATGCCATCCTCTCACCACACACAATATACAAGTTAGTTTTGTGACCAAGTGGAGGCTACAGAAGTGTTTTTCCTTCTAGGTTTTTTTTTTTTTAAATATGTTTTTATTGATTTCAGAAAGAAGA